ACCTAGATGGCAGTGTAACAAAAAAGCAAAAAACTCTGGGGAAAACTGTAGTGTTTTGTAATTAAATTTGCTATTATACTAATAGTTTAAGGTAATTAAAAATAGTGATAAACTTACCGATTCAACAAAATATTGAGTGATGACAGCTTTGTCGACCTTTTTCCCATTGATTTTAATATCATATCCGATTAATTCCCATGCATCTACTGGAAATCCAGATCGATGTTCCTAGGAATATCACAAAATTTTCAGATCAGTTATTGTCAACATCAAACCTTAGTCCAACTGTTATCCAAGACGATTGCTGAATTTTAATTTTGTGGCAACATTAATCTCTTTCAAATATAACTGCACCAAGAAACTATTCGTGTACATCGATAGCAGCGGTTCATTATTGAGAGCTATACCTAACAGTCTAAGAAATTTTCATGTGCATTAATGTGAAAATGGAATTCAGTTTAATTTAAAGATTAAAACACACTTATTTGCTGAAGAGTTGAAATTTTTTGAAAAATATTTGAAACAATACAATAAAATAAAGTCTAACAAAAGTAGACTCCGAAGTCAGCCGATCGAGTCAGCCAAGCAGTCGACTCGGGCTCCTGCGAGTCGAAGTTGAAATTTTTTTCAGCTGAGTCGGCTGAGTCGACTCTAGCTGGGGTCAACTCAGTCGATTTTTTTGTCGCATTTTCAACAAATAAACACCAACCACATGCTCTCCATGCTGTTTTTATTTTACTTAAATTATTTACAGTGAGGTCTCTCTTAGTCTAACGCTTTCTTTAGTCTCTTAGTCTCTTACTTTTTTAGTTAAAAGCGTTAGACTAAGAGAGACCCTACTGTATTGTAATTCCATCAACCTTTGACACTCAAACTTTATCTTTTTACTAGTGTTGAGTCTTACTCTGAGTCGACTTGAGTCGACTTGAGTCGACTTGAGTCGATTGATTGATGAGTCGATGGAGTCGACTCGAGTCGACTGCCAGTCGATTAAACGTCCAGTCAGTCAGTCGTTGAAAAAACGGCTGACTTCGGAGTCTAAACAAAAGATGCCTTGAAAATGGGGTTGGTACTAAAAGTACACAATTGACACAATTTACACAATATACACAAAAATACACAAAATTGCACAAATTTACACAAAATCACACAACAGTGAAAATTAATATAAAAATTACACACAATGATTTAGATTGGTTAAAATAATTGATTTTCGGTAAGGCATAGGTACTTTTAGCCTCACTTCTCTTCTAATTTACATTTATCTCGAAGAAACTGTACCAATGTGGAAATAGCTTATTCTCACTATTTGTAGAGCAGTCAATTTCATGATTTTCAATATTTCTTAATAGAACTAGTTTTACCCAGATTTTCACTCTAAACTGATTCCCGGAGTATTTTGATCAAAATTGCACGACCATAATGGCCTCTATTATGGGGTAGCTATATTTACTTT